CTCCTCATCCCTCATCATCCCTCCTCATCATCCCTCATCATCATCCCTCATCATCCCTCCTCATCATCCCTCCTCATCATCCCTCCTCCTCATCACCCCTCCTCATCACCCCTCCTCATCATCATCCCTCATCATCCCTCCTCATCATCCCTCCTCATCATCATCCCTCATCATCCCTCCTCATCATCCCTCCTCATCACCCCTCCTCATCATCATCCCTCATCATCCCTCCTCATCACCCCTCCTCATCATCATCCCTCATCATCCCTCCTCATCATCCCTCCTCATCATCATCCCTCCTCAAGTTTCTACAAACGCCTTAGATGAATCTGTATCCTCTTTCTCTCTGTCCTCCTTCACTCTCTGTCCGTCCATCTCTCTATATACAGTGGGGAGAACAAGTATTTGATACACTGCCGATTTTGCAGGTTTTCCTACTTACAAAGCATGTAGAGGTCTGTAATTTTTATCATAGGTTTACTTCAACTGTGAGAGACAGAATCTAAAACAAAAATCCAGAAAATCACATTGTATGATTTTTAAGTAATTAATTTGCATTTTATTGCATGACATAAGTATTTGATCACCTACCAACCAGTAAGAATTCCGTCTCTCACAGACCTGTTAGTTTTTCTTTAAGAAGCCCTCCTGTTCTCCACTCATTACCTGTATTAACTGCACCTGTTTGAACTCGTTACCTGTATAAAAGACACCTGTCCACACACTCAATCAAACAGACTCCAACCTCTCCACAATGGCCAATACCAGAGAGCTGTGTAAGGACATCAGGGATACAATTCTAGACCTGCACAAGGCTGGGATGGGCTACAGGACAATAGGCAAGCAGCTTGGTGAGAAGGCAACAACTGTTGCCGCAATTATTAGAAAATGGAAGAAGTTCAAGATGACGGTCAATCACCCTCGGTCTGGGGCTCCATGCAAGATCTCACCTCGTGGGGCATCAATGATCATGAGGAAGGTGAGGGATCAGCCCAGAACTACACGGCAGGACCTGGTCAATGACCTGAAGAGAGCTGGGACCACAGTCTCAAAGAAAACCATTAGTAACACACTACGCCGTCATGGATTAAAATCCTGCAGCGCACGCAAGGTCCCCCTGCTCAAGCCAGCGCATGTCCAGGCCCGTCTGAAGTTTGCCAATGACCATCTGGATGATCCAGAGGAGGAATGGGAGAAGGTAATGTGGTCTGATGAGACAAAAATTGAGCTTTTTTGTCTAAACTCCACTCGCCGTGTTTGGCGGAAGAAGAAGGATGAGTACAACCCCAAGAACACCATCCCAACCGTGAAGCATGGAGGTGGAAACATCATTCTTTGGGGATGCTTTTCTGCAAAGGGGACAGGACGACTGCACCGTATTGAGGGGAGGATGGATGGGGCCATGTATCGCGAGATCTTGGCCAACAACCTCCTTCCCTCAGTAAGAGCATTGAAGATGGGTCGTGGCTGGGTCTTCCAGCATGACAACGACCCGAAACACACAGCCAGGCCAACTAAGGAGTGGCTCCGTAAGAAGCATCTCAAGGTCCTGGAGTGGCCTAGCCAGTCTCCAGACCTGAACCCAATAGAAAATCTTTGGAGGGAGCTGAAAGTCCGTATTGCCCAGCGACAGCCCCGAAACCTGAAGGATCTGGAGAAGGTCTGTATGGAGGAGTGGGCCAAAATCCCTGCTGCAGTGTGTGCAAACCTGGTCAAGACCTACAGGAAATGTATGATCTCTGTAATTGCAAACAAAGGTTTCTGTACCAAATATTAAGTTCTGCTTTTCTGATGTATCAAATACTTATGTCATGCAATAAAATGCAAATTAATTACTTTAAAATCATACAATGTGATTTTCTGGATTTTTGTTTTAGATTCCGTCTCTCACAGTTGAAGTGTACCTATGATAAAAATTACAGACCTCTACATGCTTTGTAAGTAGGAAAACCTGCAAAATCGGCAGTGTATCAAATACTTGTTCTCCCCACTGTATACTCCTCTCTCAGTTTACACTGAGTACAGTATACCAAACATTAAGAACACCTAACATTAGGAACAGCCTCAATTCGTCAGGGCATGGACTCTACAAGGTGTCGAAAGCGTTCCATTGGGATGCTGGCCCATGTTGACTCCAATGCTTCCCACAGTTGTGTCAAGTTGGCTGGATGTCCTTTGGGTGGTGGACCATTCTTGATACACATGGGAAAGCGTTGCAGTTCTTGACACAAACTGGTGTCCCTGGCACCTACTAGCATACCCCGTTCAAAGGCACTCAAATATTTTGTCTTGCCCATTCAACCTCTGAATAGCACACATACACAATCGATGTCTCAATGGTCTCAAGGCTTAAAAATCATTCTTTAACCCATCTCCTCCACTTCATCTACACTGATTGAAGTGGATTTAACAAATTACATCAATAAGGGATCATATCTTTCACCTGTATTCACCTGGTCAGTCAGTCTACAGTGGGGAAAAAAGTATTTAGTCAGCCACCAATTGTGCAAGTTCTCCCACTTAAAAAGATGAGAGAGGCCTGTAATTTTCATCATAAGTACACGTCAACTATGACAGACAAAATGAGGAAAAAAAATCCAGAAAATCACATTGTAGGATTTTTTATTAATTTATTTGCAAATTATGGTGGAAAATAAGTATTTGGTCACCTACAAACAAGCAAGATTTCTGGCTCTCACAGACCTGTAACTTCTTCTTTAAGAGGCTCCTCTGTCCTCCACTCATTACCTGTATTAATGGCACCTGTTTGAACTTGTTATCAGTATAAAATACACCTGTCCACAACCTCAAACAGTCACACTCCAAACTCCACTATGGCCAAGACCAAAGAGCTGTCAAAGGACACCAGAAACAAAATTGTAGACCTGCACCAGGCTGGGAAGACTGAATCTGCAATAGGTAAGCAGCTTGGTTTGAAGAAATCAACTGTGGGAGCAATTATTAGGAAATGGAAGACATACAAGACCACTGATAATCTCCCTCGATCTGGGGCTCCACGCAAGATCTCACCCAGTGGGGTCAAAATGATCACAAGAACGGTGAGCAAAAATCCCAGAACCACACGGGGGGACCTAGTGAATGACCTGCAGAGAGCTGGGACCAAAGTAACAAAGCCTACCATCAGTAACACACTACGCCGCCAGGGACTCAAATCCTGCAGTGCCAGACGTGTCCCCCTGCTTAAGCCAGTACATGTCCAGGCCCGTCTGAAGTTTGCTAGAGTGCATTTGGATGATCCAGAAGAGGATTGGGAGAATGTCATATGGTCAGATGAAACCAAAATATAACTTTTGGGTTAAAACTCAACTCGTCGTGTTTGGAGGACAAAGAATGCTGAGTTGCATCCAAAGAACACCATACCTACTGTGAAGCATGGGGATGGAAACATCATGCTTTGGGGCTGTTTTTCTGCAAAGGGACCAGGACGACTGATCCGTGTAAAGGAAAGAATGAATGGGGCCATGTATCGTGAGATTTTGAGTGAAAACCTCCTTCCATCAGCAAGGGCATTGAAGATGAAACGTGGCTGGGTCTTTCAGCATGACAATGATCCCAAACACCTGGGCAACAAAGGAGTGGCTTCGTAAGAAGCATTTCAAGGTCCTGGAGTGGCCTAGCCAGTCTCCAGATCTCAACCCCATAGAAAATCTTTGGAGGGAGTTGAAAGTCCGTGTTGCCCAGCGACAGCCCCAAAACATCACTGCTCTAAAGGAGATCTGCATGGAGGAATGGGCCAAAATACCAGCAACAGTGTGTGAAAACCTTGTGAAGACTTACAGAAAACGTTTGACCTGTGTCATTGCCAACAAAGGGTATATAACAAAGTATTGAGAAACTTTTGTTATTGACCAAATACTTATTTTCCACCATAATTTGCAAATAAATTCATAAAAAATCCTACAATGTGATTTTCTGGATTTTTTTTTTCATTTTGTCTATCATAGTTGACGTGTACCTATGATGAAAATTACAGGCCTCTCTCATCTTTTTAAGTGGGAGAACTTGCACAATTGGTGGCTGACTAAATACTTTTTTCCCCCCACTGTATATCATGGACTCAGTTTATATCATCATGTTCTCTCTCTGCCTGTATTCTCCATTTCTCTCGATCTCTCCCCCTCTCTTTCTCTTGCTCTCTAAGTTATTCATCTCTCACCTCTCTCTAAATGACAAAAATGTAATGTAATGTAATCTCTCTTCCCTCCAGCCACATGCTTGACCGCATTAAATGAAGTTAGGGCTTTTCATCTTCCCATCTTTCTTTCTTTCTTTCTTTCTTTCTTTCTTTCTTTCTTTCTTTCTTTCTTTCTTTCTTTCTTTCTTTCTTTCTTTCTTTCTTTCTTTCTTTCTTTCTTTCTTTCTTTCTTTCTTTCTTTCTTTCTCTTGTTCTCTCTCTCTCGCTCTCTCTCTCTCTCTCTCTCTCTATCATATAGGATCTCTCTCTCTCGTATCTCTTCCTTCTGTATTTCTCCTTCTCTCTCTCCCTCTTCCCACTCACTCTGTTCTTTCTCTCTCTCTCTCCATCTATCTGTCTGTGTGTTGTTATAGATCCCCAGCCCCCCAGAGGGTTAGTCAAGGAGTTCACTCTTCACTCAACATATACACTGCTGCCTCAGTCGGCCTGTCTATCGATCACACAGGAAGCTGCAAACCAACACTCACATTACACATCAACTGAGACTATCTTACGTAGAAATACTGGAAAACACTAGTCTATACAGTAGACATGAACCATAATGGTTGTATGAATGGTATGGGATACATATTATATCACAACTACTATTTACCATGACATTACAGTGTAGAGACTAATTAACATTCAGCCTATTTTTCTCTTCTTCAATTGCCTCAGTTAATGTTGTATGCATAAAATATATTATACGGTTGGACATACCCATTTCAGATCCAGTAAATGAATTACACACTCTCTTTTCTTTCTCTCCTTCCCCCCTCCCTCCCTTCCTCCATCCCTCTCTCAGATCGGCACAGAGTGGGATGCCAAAGAGCGCATGTTCCGTAACTTCGGTGGTCTGATGGGTCCCATGGACGAGACGGTCGGGATGCAGCGGTGGTCCAAGGGCCCCAACGTGACGGTCACCGTGGTGTGGATCGACCCCACCAACGTCATCGCTGCCACCTACGATATCCTGATCGACGCCAGCGCAGAGTACACCCACTACAGACCCCCACTGAACCAGCCTCTCAGGCCCGGGGTGTGGACCATACGGGTGTTGCATCACTGGAGCCCCGTGGCAGAGACAAGGTTTCTGATTAGTCCGCTGGCTTATATGAAGCATCAGCCTATAAGACAAGGTAAGAGACAGACACAGACACACACACACACCCATGGCTTATAACAAGCACTAGTCTATACGATAAGGTAAGAGACAGCCACAGACACACACACACACCCATGGCTTATAACAAGCACTAGTCTACGATAAGGTAAGAGATATCTTGGCCTATATGTAGTACATGTTTACAAGTCACATGAGTGTCAGTCTGTGATATATGTGATGTAATTGATACAGTATGTCTTGTCATGTTATAGGCATATCATAGATACACACAACAAAACACAAAAGCACATATCCCATGAGGCCCTGCTGTGTTTGCGACGCTCTTTCTAATCAAACCTCTGAGCCGTTGGAAGCACCAGTTGTTTGTCACCAAGTCAACCGTAATCATCCTCAGTGTTTCTCATACATATTAAACAGTATGTTAAACACCTCCATATAACGCCTAGGAACACAATTACACAATTAAATAAATCTGGCTGTGTTAACTATAAGGGACCAGGACCCTTATTGTTTTAGCTAGAGTAATCAGTTGCAGTGAAAGTCACCCGAGAGTTGAGACGCTAACCTCAGTGTGATGGCATATTCACAGCCTGACCTGTTTTATAATTGCACTGAGGCCATTTTTAATTATGAAAAGAGTCAACAAATAAAAGTTAGCAGGCTTTGCCCTGATGCACTGTAGTGTTTGAGCCCATGTGTGAGAGTGAGGAGAGAGGAAGCTAAAATATTCATAAATTGTTTGTGAGTGTTTTTGTTTGTTTGATAGTTCGCTTGTTTGCTTTTCTCTCAGTTGTAAATCCGTGTTGATGTGAACAGAAAGTTTCTCAGCAAATTATTAACCCCACTTCCCCCCAAACTCCAAACTCTGTACTAGGGCATAGTCAGAATGCTAAATTCATTCCCAAAGACTTTAGCATTAGAGGTGGGGGTAAACCGACTGCCTTTCTCCACTATTTATGATGAAGTTAATCATGAAACGTACTGCTATGATCTCTGAGGTTATACTGTTGCTGAAATGTTTTATTACCCAAGTGAGGTGACACTGAGCTCTACTTTAGATTGTTTTACACTAAACTTTTTGGGTCAGCTTGAGTGGTTAAATTAGCCCAGTTGGCCCATAGTGCAAACAGTAGGCCTAAACTAGATCCACTGCAGCATAGAAACTATGGAGACCTGTGAGAGCTTCAGTATCAAAGAGCCTTATATGGACTACAGGACAGTAGTTATCCATTGAGACAGTACTTGGGACAAAGGCTAGTTTCCCGGACACAGATTAAGCCTGGTCTTGGACAAAGAAGCACTTTTAACTGAGAATCCTTTTTAGTCTCTGGGAAACCAGCCTTACATCTCCTGCTCCTGTAGGATGGGGTTAGATGCCCTTAGATCCCATAGTCCTGAAGGTCATGGTGGTACAGTAATCCTGCAGCCTTGGCCTCCTCTTCAGCCTCCTCACCACCTGCTCTACCAGCCTCTAGCCTTGCCATACATGATTTACAACCCTGAGTAGCTCCAGGTCTTCCTACTACACGTAGCCCTAGTAAAAGTTTATAGTGTGGGTTTTTCGCCCTGGCTTAGCGCTGGCACCATGGGCACACACACACACACTGGCACCACACACACACCGCTGCCACAGCAGATTCGGTAGTTGGCACCGGGCAGTGGCAAGCTTGGCAGAACAACCGGGTGTCTGACTGCATCTCTCTCGTCGCTAGCCCGTGAAAATGCTAGCGGCTAACGGCAGGGTGCGAAGCAGCACTGGCAGAGAGTAGAGGAGCGCTGGGCTAGCGTACAATAGCCAGGCTGAGGAGGGACGGCAAGCGCCCCAGTGTTAGGAGCACTGAGGAATGTACAGCTTTACCTTCAGGATAGAGGGATGGCACGGTTTTAGGGATGAGGTAATGGTCTCGTCTCGTCTCTGCCCCATAGCTTCCAATGACTTTATAAAGAGACACGAGGAACAGTCATTGAGTTGTTTTCCCAATTTGTGGCTTAGGCAATTATTTTATGGTTGGAGTGTATGAAGGGGCTTCTAAATGTATAGTGTATGAGAAGATGCTGCTATCTGCCACCTAGCTTCCAATGGCTTTATAAAGAGACACTAAGTGCAGTCATTGAGACACTTGGTGCAGTCTCCCACTTTGTGGCTTAGGCTTACCCTAGAGAAATCAATAACATGTAATTAACCAGTAACACAAAGTTTGTTCTCATCAAATTAGTTCACAGTTCCATTCCACCCTTTAGGGCAATACAATCAAGTCAAAGTGGTTCCACTGATTTCCCTACTTAGATTCCCCATTGATGACCCTGTCTGTTTACCTGCTCATTTATGAAGACTATCTACAGGACAGTCTCACCATAAAACATTAACAATCAATTTATGAACACTATCTACAGGACAGTCTCTCCATAAAACATTAACAATCAATTTTTGTCCCCCTCTTTCTCTCTCTTCATCTCTCTCTCTCTCCCGCTCACTCTCCCTCCCTCCCCACAGAGGACACGCTGAAGCTCCACAACGGACCAGCCAAGAACAGTTATATGGAGCAGAGCTTCCACGGCCTAAACCCCGTGCTCAACATCCCTGTACACCTGGGCCAGGTGGAGCAGGCTAAGCGCAACGCCGTCCTGACTGGCCCCGCCCTGGAACACTGGGTAGACGGCCTGGTGGGTGCGATGTGGGAGGCTGGGGACGTGTGTTCCACCTCCATGACAGGGGGACCCGGAACATCCTGCCCCGTCATGCAGGCCTGCGCCAAGACCCCATGGAGCTCGCTCAGCCCCGACCCCAAGTCCCAGCTGGTCCCGCCGCACGCCGATGGGCACATCAGGTAGCAGTGGCGCCTCCGGCTGGACAGGAGGCCACACTGCAGGTCTTAAGATGAAATAATTTATTTTTTGTATCTCTTTTTATTTTATTTTTATTTTTCCGTCGACGTAATGGATCAGATAAGAAGAGAAAAGACAGAAGTTGTGTTTTTTTAAGGCTGGTTGGAGGTTGAAGGATCGTTGAAGAGGAAGAGAAGGTCTGGGGAAAGTTTTGTGGTGTCATGCAAGTTTCAGACTCCTGAAGTGTTCCTCTTTGGGGTTTTTGCCGGCTTTGCCGTTTTCTGTTTCCCAATGTATTTATTTTCATCTCATTGCTGAGTTTACTGTGATTGATGCTGTGTCCGATGTAGAGACAAATGTTGCTTTGCCAAGCACCTAGTAAGGCCGCCTAGTCTGCTGCTGAATGAAAGGGCGATTGTGAAGTCAGTCAGAAGTCAGAGTGTTCGGGTGGAACAGGATAGTCGACACTGGTAGTGGACCAAGTTCTGGGCCGTATTCACAAAGCGTTTCAGAGTAGAAGTGCTGATTTAGAATCAGTTTTCTCTTTTAAATCATAATGAATATGATTATATAGCCAGGGGGGACCTGATCCTAGATCAGCACTTCTACTCTGAGATGCTTTGGGAATACGGGCCCTGCTTCTCAAGGTCGGTTTGGCCTACATGTAGGGAGACAGACTGAACCGCAACCTCGGATGGTGTCGCGAAGATCTTTTTAAAAAAGCGTAATTCCTTGCCTCAATCTTTGCGTATGACCGACAAAGTTACTATGGCACAGCAGTACTTATTGACTTTCAGTGCCTGAACAGGAGAAAGATGTGTGGGTGTGACTGGACTATGGAGTGACATTAGTGCCAGTAGAAGTTGAATTGAATTCATGAATGATTTAATCTAGATTCAGTTTTGATTGGCACTAATATCACTCTATACTGGACTGCCTGAAACTTGAAATGAAAGTATATCAGCTGTGCTTTCGCAAGAAAACAGAAATTCTCAAGCGTAACTTTTTATTTCCTTTTTTAAGAATTTCTGAATATTTGGTTTTAATAACAGTTTATGTTGCAAGTATGAAAAATAATATGTCTCAAAGTTATTGTCGTGTGAATGGAGTGAGTTGTCCACAAGTTGCTATTTATTTAAAAGTTTATATAAATACAGAATATTTTTAGTCAATGACTAAATGACTACAACGCTGCTTTGGCAGCTCGATAAATATTTTTTTGTAAAGAGAAACTGCCTTTATTTACAAAGGCCAACGCCCCAACGAACCTGTATACCTATTTTGGGCGAACAAACCTAATGCCCACCTGTGTGTCCGTGTTGTCCGGTCTGAATAGCTTTTCCTGTCTTGGTTCCTTCATTGGCTGTTTGCCAAGTCTTCGTCACACGAGGAAGCACCCAGGACTGAAAGGTCACAGAAAGGTCAGCTTTCAGTCAACAAAAAAGTCAACAAAAAAGACAGAAACACTCCAAAAACTCTCCAAAATGTGTGTTGGAGTCATTTCGTGGTGATGTTACATTTCCTATTTGGTTCCGTGTCAGTACCAGGATGTTAGTGATTGATGATGCTGTTCATGCTGTGGCAAAAATGTAAACAAATATTTGTATCTTGATCAAGGAACTGTTGGATTGGGCCCAGGCAACTTTGGTTTTCACTGGATCTTCTACTACATACTAAGTACTTTTGCTGCCATCAAGACTATCTCTCAGTTTACCACAGTTCAAACTTAGCCTATAGAACATAACATGCCCCCAGTTCAAGCATAATAGCACAGGCCCCCCGTGCCCCCTTCTCCAACCACAATGAAGGGTAACTACGATCAGCCATTTTGTTTGTTTGGCTTCAACTCAATTCTTCTCACAACCTAATTTGGTCCCAATTTAGAATCCAATCTGTGATTGTCAACATGATTTGGCAGTCAAACGTGCTAAATGAATGTTTTCACCAGGGCTCATCAACGATCATTAGTGAGTTAATCTATGGCCCAAGTTCATCTTGAACCTTGTAGGATGTATCAATCCTAATAAGTGTCAGTCCTGTCACTCAAACCTGAACTGTTGTGTGTTGTTGCCAGTTTTACAAAGAAGGGCAATTTGGCCTATATAGGGCTCGCCAGCTTGTAGTCCTAAAACCCAGAAGTGAGTTACCTCTGGTTTGTTCAGTCATCCCTATGGGGAAATGAGTGGGGAAAGAATAGGGTTTTGGGATAAACACAGAAAATAAGGACTGAGGTTAACACAGGCTTAGGAGATCTTATACGTTTTGTTCTATGAGATAATATCAGTCCGTTATTATGTCCTTTATAAATTATGAAGACTTTACTTTATGTCCGTTTTTATTATCACATAAATGCTTCAAAATTAACAAAAAGTGACGTTAGCTGATGAAGATTATCTCATAGAACAAAACGTATAAGATCTTCTAAGCCTGTGTTTACCACAGACCTTATTTTCGGCAATTATCCAAAAACCCTACAAAAATGCCATTCATTTCCCCATAGGCGTTGTCCAACAAACCATGGCGGAGTTAGTGCCTACAAAAAGACGCCATTGCTATTTCTCTGTATTAGCTAGCTAGCTAACAACATATTAGCTGGCTAGATATAGATATGACCCTAACTTTCTTTTACTGGCAGTGCCATTGTCACATTGAAACTAATACTTAATTGACGAATAGTTTGCCCATTGTTCAAATGTACAATTATCATTCTCGAGATGTGAATTGAAATATGTTACTCAATGTAAAAGTCCTATTTTGTTACAAAAATGAAGAAAATGTACATAAATATTTTGTATTGAATTATGTTTAAAACGTATTCTATGTAAATACTGATGTGGTGTGGAAAGATTATGAAGTGGAATTACAGTAGAAGAAGAACAGATAGCTAGTGTTGCTTGTTGCTAGTTGGGCACAGAGTGATTTTAGGTACGTAACCTGTTTCAATGTTTTGGACAGATATAAGGAATGACTCAGAATTGGGTAAAGCTTTTAATATTATTCTTCGCCTTTCAGAGAATATCATGACAGATTGTTGTTCTCTCTGCTGGAATGTATTGTTGAGCAACTGTTGCACAAACTTCTCTGAACTCAACATTTCCCGAAGTTTCTGGGGGAAACTTAAAAGTTTCCTAAAGTTTCTGGGAAAACTTTAATGTTTCTCGAAGTTTCAGGACAAACTTTGTTTCCTAAAGTTTCAGGGGGAAACTCTGTGCCTTAGCTATCTATCTATACTCCTGCCTAGGGGACTCTTAAAACTTTCTGTCCATCTATGAACATACAATTGTTATGGTCGTTTTTACTTTTCACAAAAAGTGAAAGAAGAGCACCAAGAGTTAGTCGATGTGATTTGATGAATCTGTAACACCAAAAAAGATGTCCGCTGTTGTAAATACCATGCCTTCTTGTCTTTTGCTTTTACATTTTTGTGGATTTTTTTTTTGTTGGTACATTTTTCTCTGACTGCTTTTTGAAATTAAAGAGCTCTCTCTAAATCTTGTCTCATTTTTGTGTGGATTTTTATGCTTAGACACTTCAAGTTTATGACATGACAGTTGTCCCGAAAGCCTTATCTAAGCCTTGTAACACATGTCCTTCTTATTTATGTATGTTTAAGTAGCCATAATTGCATTTTACTATGGAAACAAAGCATGGATTACACCATAATTAAAGTGATAGCACCGTCAAACAGTTAAGTCATTCCCACTGTTGTTTAATGATCACCCTAGCTTCACCCTCATACTGGCCCCGTGTAGCTCAGTTGGTAGAGCATGGCGTTTGCAAGGCCAGGGTTGTGGGTTCGATTCCCACGGGGGGCCAGTATGAAAATGTATGTACTCACTAACTGTAAGTCGCTCTGGATAAGAGCGTCTGCTAAAATGTAAATCTAAGTATTTGTTTAACTACTTGACGTTGCTTCCATGTTTTCCATGACTTAACTGAAGAATCAACCTGCCATCATCAGCTGTTGAGCACCAGATAAATGTACACTATGCACATGGCTATTCTCCTGTTTTCAGCCTATTGACAGAGAGCTGAGAGAGTTGAGGACTTAAAAAATACTGTACCGTATGTCTCAGAGGCAGACTACTGTGTGTAGACATAAAACAAACCACCTCAAACACAACATGCAGTAGCCAGAGATTTGGCTTCCCCTTCCAGAGATAATACATCTAGAAAACAGGGGACCTCACCAATAGTCAAACTATCCTCTTTGAATGTGCTGTGTTGAGCGATGAATGATGCCACCATCGTTTGTGGAGGTCTGACCAGAGAGAACCACTTGGGGATTCTGTGATCGTCTTCCCATCCTTCGTCTTCAGAACAGAATAGGGGTTCTGTGTGATCCTCCCGGGGCTCCATCATCACACACACAATCATCCCACACATCCTCCCGGGCCTCTATCATCACACACTACACACACACACACACACACACAAGATCACAGGGTGTACTGAGCCTCTGACAGGCCCAGATCAAAGGGACACTATGGACCATCAGATCTCACGACGATCCCACAAGGCTCCGAACACGCCAGCTAATTAGTCCAGGGTGACTGGAAGGAGAGCGTGTGTGTGTGTGTCTGTGTGTCCTTGGTGAGCGTGATATCACATCTGTGTGCATGCATGTGTGTATACGTGCGTCCACCCGTGTGTGTGCTCGCACATGTACGTGTCACATCTGTGAGGAGTGTGTGTTTTAGGGGGGTCCCATCTGTGTGAAGAGTTTCTAACAATGTAAATGAGCCACATCTTGCAGATGAGTTTTATTCACTATCTCTGACATAAAACAAACCCTTAGGTCTCATCCAACACATGCAAAACGTGACAGTGAGACAACAACATTGCTATTACTGTCACGACTTCCGCCGAGGCTGCCCCCCCTCCTGGTTCGGGCAGGCTTCGGCGTTCGTCGTCACCGGAGTACTAGCTACTGCCGATCCTATTCTCATCACTCCCCTTGTCATGTCTTGTCAATCACACACACCTGGTGCTCATTCCCCTAATTA